GAAAGAGCGATCAGTCACCGGGTTCTCACCATTCTTCTTCTTCTTTGGTATGACTGAGCTGAATTCGATACACATTATTCATCTTGACCTGTAAATTCCCCTCCTCATCTTCTTCCAAAGGTAAAAAAGTAACAGTTCCATTCAAGACATCTGGAGAGAAAAAAAGAGAGAGGGATAAGGATACCAAATTACACCTGCTTAGTTCATGTCTCAGCAGAAGAGGTACTAACAGCAATAAATGTTTTACGATATTTTCCACCTCGGTGTTCCCCCCGCACTCTGTGTAATGGCACTTCAGGACAAAAGGGGAGCTTTGGTGCTTTATTCGCCACCACAGCCCAATACGCAGAATACACGAGGCAAGTGGGAGTCATTCTCAATAGGAGGAACACAGGAGCCAGGACGCGAGGGAAAAGCCAGCCGATGGGGAGCCTGCAGGGATGTGAGAGCAGCTGGAGAGAACAGGGGACTTCTGTCCAGCTGAGTATCAGCATAGCCCGACCCTGATCTGATGTGGGCAAGGCACAGGACACTATCCAGCCCTCAGAAGTCAGTTTATGGAAAATGAACACCCTTCCAAGGTCCCGTAACCTGGGGTCTCGCAGTGTGCAATCCTTACTGTCTGCATTCACATTACCAGCAGAGAGCCAGCGGGTGGCATGGTGGTAAGGTTATCCCATGACCAACTGCACATTTTGAGTTCCAGACCCAGCAGCTTGAAAAACACACTGGCTGTGTGTGCAGGCATGCTCCAAATCCCGTGATGAAAATGGAGGAGAGACTACACCCCTGAGGGGTGCTATCTCATTTTTCCTTTTTCTCTCCCTCTCTTTTTTTGTCTCTCTGACCAACACTCATACCCTATAGTAAATTAAAAAAAAAAAAAAAAAGGCAGAGCAGCATATTACTATTCCTAAACTGAATTTATGGCATTATATCAATTTATATGGATACTTAAGGTTTGATTTACAAATTCTACCTCTAAAATCAATTGCATTTACCTTTAATATAATTTAAAAAAAAAATAGCAAGGGTTAGCCCCATGGCCTAATGGGTTAGGGAACCAGATCTCAAATGGTTGACTATAGTCTGAATCCAGCCCTGGCCACTGGGAAATGTCAGGCATGTGTGCATGCTCGTCCACAACACCAACAGGATGGAGAAATGGAGAGCAGCCCTCCCCGTTGTGAGGTGCTTTCTCCCTCGCTCTATTTCCCCGTCTCTCTTAAGCAAGTCCATGTGCTCTCTGGCACATTTTAAAAATAGCAAATCACTGGTAAAGATACCTCACTTTGTGAACGTGAAACCACCTTCTAGAAATGGCAAAAGGGTAAGATCTGCCAAAAGGAAGTAGAGAGCCAAGGGGCCGACTGGACAGGGATGGAAACAACAGGGTGGCAGCTACGCGGCTAACGCTGAGCTCAGCGGCAACAGAGGCGGGCGGGCGGTGCAGGGAGAGGAGAAAAGAAAAAAAGCCCACTGCATTTTTACTTCAACCTCCGAAGAAGAAAACCTAAACTAGATCCGATTTACGTAGCGCATCTACACTTCCCCAGAGAGGCCTTTCCTCTTTTTCCATCCTGAAAAGCATTTGATCACCATCGGCTGGCTGGCTG